GGTGTGTCTGCTAAAATGACCAGCAGTTAGTTACCATTAGTAATATTTCCTATACTATTAACATGCTTCAGAGTCACCACTAGACAGATACAAGAGTTTACACCTATCAGACCTGCAGATTCAAGTTGTCTGCTGATTCCGATATGCATTATTTTACCTTTTACCAGCTACCCTCATGACCATGAAGGTGAAAGATTTTTGTTTGCTTTTTTGTTTAAATAACACTTTAGAGTTTGCAATATCATTTACTGGAAAATTCAGAAGCCCATTTATACTGAAATGCATATGGCCATAAAATATCATCATGTACAGAGCGCTACTAACTGGCAGCTTTATTAATGTACTTAAATGTTTGCATTGGGAAACTAATGACAAAGTTGGCCATCCTATAATGCCATCCTGTAATGCCTTAACTGTCTGTGGCCCAATTAATAAATATTTATTGGAGATAAAATCATTGGTCATCATAAGAGGGCTAATAACTTTATGCAAGAACTCTGTAATTAAATTATAGTCCCTGTGCATTTATAATTCAAGCATTTATCCACAACCCAAAGGATTCGTTGCAAAAGCATTTACTTCTTTCCTGCAACACGCAGAAAGCTCATATCTCGCAACTAATCTAACAGGCAAGAGGCATTCATGAAACAAACGGTGCTGGAGTTGCCAAAACTAGAGAAATATTAACAGTTACCTACCACGATGCAAGAAGGCAGGTTTGCTGATTTTTACCCAGGCTGCAAACTGACAGCTTCCCAGTGACGGGTCATTAGTGTGATATAGAGAAAGCAGCTGGGTATCAGGGGGCAGAGGCTAACAGACTAATTACATCCTTAAATCATCCACAAAATACTTCAAAGGATGAAGAGGGAAGAAAGCAAAGGGAAGACACAATGACAAAATATCTAGCTGCGCAGAAGATGTAAAACATTTTTAGAAAGAAGTCAAGGTATCCTAATGCTTGCAAAGAAAGTAAGAGGTTTCCATCAAGAGTGAAAGTAACTAGCACTGTGATCCTTTCAAATAATACCTCTATTCATTCTCCTAAACACAAGCAAGTACTCCTTTCTAAACACATGTAGCAGTTACTTCTTTAAAGGTCCTGCTTCTGTTGGCTGTTTTTTTTTTTTCATTCCTTGGACAGAAAAAACAACTGCAACACTTAATCAAGGCTTTTATCTGTGCACATTGTTCTTTCCTTTATAAAGGACCAGAGAGAAAAATTTAATATGGCAGTGTTAGATATACAGATTATAGACAGCTGCATTAAATTTCTAGGTGCTTTCAGATTTGAATACACAATGCCTGCTATACCAAAAGCTGACTGCATAACCAAAGCAAACGTTTTCCAGTCTCCTCACTGATGGGAACAATAGTATTGAATATCCAATAAAAAAGAATTAGATCCAGTCAACTTAGTTCCAGTAAGGAAGAATCCACGACCATGTGTTGTGTTCTCTAAGCCACTAATTACATTGCTTACTTCTAATCCTTGGTCTGAAATGTGTATCTTTCCACTGAAGTTTATAGCACTGCAACCATGAATAGTACAGCGATCTGTGCCAGCTGCAACTCAGCAGCATTTCCCCCATTTAGAGCTACAAAATGTCTTCCACATCTGTGGCATCATCCAAAATTGCTGATCATTATAACTAGGAATAAAAGATAGATTAGATGGGATGTTTGTGTACAAGAAGATCTTTCAATCTTTGAAAGAAGCCTACTTCTCTTTTTCTGTTTTGCTAAAACCTCCATCTCAAGTGCTCGCTTAAGTTGGAAAATCAGCAGTTGAAAATTTCATGTGCAACCACAGGAAAATGCAAGGCTCAGAACAAAAAATCTGCAGTCTTTGCTTCAGACCATCATTATTAGTAATATAAAATCAACTTAAATCAACCTGATGAAGGGTGTTCATGCCCAAAAGCTTACTAAGAATATTTTTTTCCAGCTATTTGAGTTGGTCTACTAAAAGATACAAGATTTAGCCAAACAACCGTGTCAACTTAAAATATCACATCTATGCCTGAAAATATTTTACCTGTTGCTGTTATGTTGGTAACACTTAAACAGACCAAAGAAAAAAAGAGTAGTGAAAAAAATCTCTCTCGTTCAGTGTGTTAATGCGAAGTATGAGACAGCATCTTGCATCTAATCCGTTTTGACAGTTTCCAACATCACACAATGAGAGAACAATATTTAAAATAGGACATTATAAAATCACAAGCATTGGGAAGAAGATTCAATGGTGGGTGTTGTGCCTGACATTACTTTTAACTTTTTTAAATAGTTTTTATTTTGTACTTTATTTGATACCCACATTTTGAGTCCTGAATCGATTACTAGGCACAGTCTGGGAAGGCCATTATTGTTTGTGTAGTTCAGTGATGTTTAGCACTTCACAGTGAAAGACAAATTTGTAAACCCCAGAACTTCTAACGTAAGTAGACAACAGTTAGACAATGGATGGGAGACAAAGTGGGAAGTTTACTAGATTGACCAGTGTAGTTTAACAAAGCTCTGGCTTGTTCCAGAACATCAGTTTTGCTTGATTTGGTTTTTATTCCTTTTCCACTGCTGTTAGTATTTCCCCATAGAGAAGGCTATGCTGATTTACTTCCATTTGGCACTGAGGGAAAATGCAAGCAAGTCAAAGTTGTTGTGATCTGGTTTGATTGCACTGTGAGGCCTTTGTTGGAAAAGGGAAGGAAAAAAAGTAAAGAATCAAAATCATTTAATTTTTTAAACTCTTGGCTAAACTAGATATAAATATAGAAAGCCTAGATCCAGTAAGAATTGTCAATAAAAACAGTATTTTTCCTGAAGTGCTCTTGTTAAATATCAGCTTTCCATGTGCCATATGTAGAAAGCTATTTGCCATGTCGAATGGCTATAATGGAGTGCACTTCATATTTTCTCTCTCCAGCTTGACCACAGGCACCTTACAGTTAGAACAATATCTGTATGTTTCTCAGGAAAACAAAATAAGCAAAAGAAAACACTATGTTACATTTAATTTTTAAGCACAACAGCAAAAAAGATTTTCCCTTTTCCCTGCTGGAGAACAAGAGCTATTTTAGGATATAATAGGCAAAGAAACACCTCTCAAATCTTCCAGTTGCTGAGCATTCAAAGTTGCTTCACAGTATATTTTTCCCCTAAACGCTTGTTTTTCTCCCAGCTAGTTTCTAGTTTAAGATATAGAGCGTAAAAGCAAGACATGTTAAAAATATTCAACACTAACATGTGTATCCTTGTCTTCCCTAAAACTAATGACAACTTAGGCACAGATGTTGGAAATTCTATTTTCCTTCCAAAAAAGTTCAAAACCTCAGAGTGTGGTAACCTTCCCCCAGCAGGAGAAAATGTTTACTGTGCTTTGCCTCCTTATTGCTAAAGTCTCACTCAATTTGCGGAACAGATGTATAAGCACATAACAATTGTATGTACAGGAGATAAGAAATTCCTCCTTTTTCATGACAAATTATTGAAACTCAAAGCATGCAACTCATCATTTAAAATTTGCAACGTGTTAAGTTGCAATGAATGTCCTAAAGTGTGGTGTTTACTTGCAGCACTTTCAACACTGATTTTGCAGAGAGAACACGTACTCAAGCTGCCAGTTCATGCAGCCTTTTTGTATTTAAAGCAAGAACACAGGTGAATCTTTTCTCAAAGTCATTTGTAGCAAGTTGTTCCTTTAGACCACAGCGAATCATGCATCTTGGAAACCAAAGTTTAGTAAAGTAAGATCTTGGCTCTTTCAAGTAAACGTCATCCTGAGAGCAGGTGATAGTTGGTCAAACATGACACTGAATCATCATCTAAAAATTGGTCCCATAAACAATTAACTAATATTATGTACAGAGTAACTATTTTAGGAATCTTAGAGGCATCTAATATTAATATGTTTTTATAATCCCTGGCACTACCGGACCCCAATCTCCCACTACCGTCCCCAAGCACTATCACAATACAAATAGGAAATTAATAACAGCTACTAAGGTCTGATTTTCCTATTTCTCTTTTCTTAATCAACGGCTTTATTTTGTGGATAAATGTATGTTAATTTTCAAAACAGTGCTGGTTAGGGTTGCTCCCCCCCAACTAATCTGATAACCTTGATCTCAGAGTGGTAGTTTACTTCTACAGAATGAGAAATCTTCTTTCAGTCAAGCGTAACTATACAGGCTTATGTCTGGAATTTTAAATTTCCTGTAAATCCTGTTTATAGATCTTTATCGATCAAGACCAATGATGATGTCCATTCAGGGAATGATACATCAAGGGAATGATAGAGCATATTCAAGTGGAATATCTAGGATATATTTTTGTGCATTGAAGCAGAGAGAAAAAAATTTAAAATAGTTCACATATTAGGACAATATTATGCATTTAAAGGTGACAAACAAGTCTTAAAATCCTAAAAAAAAAAAAAAAAGACAGTGCATTTACTACGGTCACATCTTAAGAATTTGGAAAAGTTACCTCCTATCAAAACTTCAACTCAAACTTAATATAAATAAAAAGTTGAGGCCTTTTTTTTTTCCCCAAAGGCAACCAAGCAGAAACAGAAATCCTTGTTTGCCATGGATCTATGGACCAGAAATTCCTGTGCTAGTTATGAATAAGATTCATGGAAAGAAGCCATATAGAATCTACTGCTTTCACTGATTTCTTCAAACGTCTTACTCTGCAAATCTCAGTATCTGTATGTTTAATTAAATTTAAAAAGCTAATTGGATACATCATTTTAAGATAGCCCATAAGGGATGATTCTCGCTAATAATCTCCATGCAAATTTTAAAACTTCAGCATATTTTCCATCATCTTGGGGTTGTAAAATTAATTTTAAAAATTATAATGATCCATGCAGCAAAGCACAACTTGCCATTGTTTCTTATCTAATGCAGTGTGGAAGTGTGCTAATTATAATGGAAACCTGAAGGCCCAGATTAAATTATGCAGTGCAGTTACAAAATAGCGCGATCAAGTTGCAGTACCGTAGATGGAGATGTTCGACGATTGCCATTTTATGCCATGCTGCCATGACAGAGAATGGCTGGAGCACACCACAATCGTTAAATCATCTTCTTACAAGACAGAACCAAAGGCAGACTCATTTCCTAGTTTTCCTACCCACAGCTTGCCACAGAAGCTATTTCCAAAATGCACTAGAGCTTTGCAGCATCACATATTTGCATCCTTCTGGTTTTGCTTAATATGCACAAGCAGTCAAGAAAGCACCTCGAAAGCTTCACCTAGCTAATTTGTCCTGTGTGTCCATATACAGGCTTGCTAACAGATAGGATATACTTAGGCCATTTTCAGTGGCCGTAATTTAAAAGTTCAGAAAGATTTCAAGACAAGTTATGACTACGTCACACGGCCTTGAAGCAGGATTACAGTTCACGTGTAGTTCTTGAGTTACCCAATCGACACATGCAACACGCACCAATATCTCAGCATGAAATTCTGGTTTTTCTATTAGGAATAACTGGCCTGAATACAGATGGTGGTAATGTTTTTCGCAGATAAAAGCCCTGTCGAGTCCTAGAATAAAAAGACGAGGGGGTCTTTGAGAGTCTGCTTTCGTTCACCCGGCTCTGTAAAAACAAATGCACGCACTTTCCGACTCAAATAACAGGACGCTCCATTCAAAATTTCCTGTCACGTTTGAAAACAAACTTTGTTCGGCTGAAAACACTGGGGAGAGGCACTGAAAACGCTTCCTCCGCTACTCGCCATCGGCAGGCGTCTTTCTTGGCGACGTAGTGATCTCTAAAGAAAGTTAGCAAGACAGTAGGTTTGTTTTGTGAGACGCTGCAAGGAGAATTAGGAGCCAGCGCTAGCTTACGATGTTTTATCGCATAATATTTAGTTGGCGTCTGAACACACGCACACAAAGAGCGACCCGGGTCACCACGTCAAGACGTGTTTTTCAACATGGGTTAATGCTCCCGTTTGGCACACGCGGGCACTCGTGCCTTTTCCAGTCTGCAAACAGTGGCGTGTTGTTCCTACCGCTCCCAAACTGGATCCCGTTTAGGACACGTACTCCTAAAAACGAGCCGCTCTTTCTTTCAACGTCGCCCTTAGCGAAATGAACAAACCCCCTCCCCCCCCCCATGTGCAATTAAATCACATCACCACCGCTGTTATGTGTATCCCTGTTTTGTCCCCCAATCCCAATGCCCTCAGCTACGCCCGGACAAACCCCACCTGCCTAACGAGGGTCGTCTCAGGATAAGCATTTTTTTTGTCTTCCCCCTTTTTGGGGGTGGAACAACAGTCAAAAGACCCCTGGACGCTGCCTGAGCCCACCGGGGAAGTTTCCGAGGGGGGTTTAGGGGAAAGAGGTTTGCAACAAGTCGTGTTTCTGTCCCCACTGCAGACAGCCCACCCCACCCCACCCGGTTTCTCTGTCTCGGGTGTCCTCTGGGCAGGGAAGGAGGGAAAGAAAGAAAAGAGGGGAGTGAAAGTAAGAAGGAAGAGAGGGAAGGGGAAGGGGGAAGAGGGAGGGAAGCGAGGTGGTGAGGGGGGAGGAAGCAGGGAGGCAGGAGGCCGGGCCGGGCCGGGCGGGGGAGGCGGCTCTTACTGGTGCAGGAGCTGGGGCAGACTGGTCGGCGGCGGCGGCGGCATCCCTGTGGCGGGGT